CGTTAATAGTTAAAGATAAAGCATGTGTAGTGTTAGACTATATGAGATCCTGGATTATATGATGTGATCTTAAAAGGATAATTCACCCAAAAATGAAGATACTGTCATCATATACTTGTCCTCAAATTGTTCTAAACCTCTATGAATTTCTTTGTTCTCCTCAACATAAAAGAAGATATTTTGAAAAGTGATCATAACCAGTTTCTGGTCCCCATTGACTCCAATAGTATATTTTTTTCAGTACTATGAAAGTCATGGGGTGTCCAGCAACTGTCTGATTACCAGTATTGTTCCAAATATATTATTTTGCATTCAATAGCAGAAGGAATCTCATACAGGTTTAGAACAACAACACAATTTTCATTTTTGGGTGAACTATTCCTCTAAAGCAGCCTCATATAGCTGCTGTTGCCATTTGTGTCAATAATGTAACTCAAACATCAGAAAGAAAATCACTTACTGTCCTTGACTGAATCACTTTTGTAAAATAAATAAGAATGAATGTATATTGAATATATACAGTGAAGACTATTCAGTTTATTTGTACATTTTACAAATTTACAAATTTATTTAAATTGTACAAATTTACATTTAAGTAAAATATTTTTATTTTTATTTTTACTTTTTAGATTGAAAAAAAATATGTGCCTGCAATCAAGATTTTGCAATCAACTTGTGTGGCATTTCTGCAAATTTATGTGGCATTATTTCAAAAGCCGGGACTTCAGAATACCTCAAACAACAAAAACAAATTCTAACCTTTGAGAAAAATTCTGTTTTTAATGTATTTTATAATGTTTCAGTATATATTTATATCAGAAAAATCAGAAAAGTTGTGAGAGTAGCAGTTAGCCACTTCCAGATAAATGAATGGATCTCTATGTGGATATATAGGATATATATATAGTCATTACACCTTTTTTTCAAAAACTGTAATTTATACAAGTTTTTCTCTAAACAGCAGATGGCATAATTCTACACCTAACACCTAGATCAATATTCAGAAACAAATTAAATCAAATTTAGATCATCATTTAAGTTATTTTTTTCATGAAAATGTAATATTTCACATGAAAGCTAATGTTGTAGTTGAGGATTTTTGTGGTAAATAGGTACAAAAGTACTTCATATCTCCCAAAACACGGCTTTAATGTATAGATGAGAAGTAAACAAAATAAATTATATATTAATTGTATGATTAAAAATGTATATATTTTTTTTTTTACAATTACTCATTAATTACGCAATTACAATTAATCATATTGACCCCAAATACCATTAGTGTAAACAGGAAATGAGAACCATATGAGGGTTAAAGTGCTCTATTTTCGCGCACTAATTTTGTACTTATTATAGCTACTAAAAATTATTCTTTAGTACTTCTCAAGATAAACTTATCATCTAAGTGTAGGCTACTCAACTGTGCTATTTTGGGACACCATGAATATGAACTAAAATGCGCTTTTATCATACTATCTCTGTATTTAAAAAAATGTATTTAGTCACCACTTGTAGTGCACTTGAGTGTACTAGTGTATGAAAGATGGGTTCATATTCATGGTGTCCCAAAATAGCACAGTTGAGTACAAGATGATCTCAAGTTTATCTTAAGTACTAAATTATCATTTTTAGTATATTAAATACAAAATTAGTCCACGAAAATAGAGCACTTTAGGTATATTATGGAAGTGCACTTTTTTTTCACCTGGGTAATAGTGCTGGGTTTTTTTTTTTCACCTTTAGACGACACGTGAATATAGAGCCAGATTTTTGTTTATGTGAAATTTAGCTAGCAGAAAACACAACTAAAGTTATATTTTCCTATATTCTCTTTTGAGCAGCCAAAGAAAACTTATTTAAAACAGGAAGAAAAGTCACTTACAAAATGAGATTAGATGAACATTAATAAATCTGATCAAAATGTGTCTGTGTGGGTAGAAAACAAGTGAATGAATCTTCCTCAGAAGAGACAAACTCAAACAGCAACTCACTTCAATGTCTGACTTGTATTATAATTACATCCATAAGCTTTTTGTGAAATTTGGAGTAACTCATTAATCTGTTTTTGACCTCTTCATATTTAAGGAGAGAATATAGTTTCCAAAGTCGGACATCGCTTGTTATGATTTTCAAGGGTGTAGAATTTAGTAGAGACGCTATGACATGATAGTGTTTGTTCTCTGGTAGTTTCACTGAGGACGCCTGTTGTTGACTTCCTTTTGGGCCTTTTAAAAGAAGCGAGATGACTGACCACGAGAGAGAGAGCTGATTTTGTTTGGTTTCCTTTAAGCTTGTTTTCTTGTACATCAACACTGCTGCACATATTACACTTCCATGCATTTATTTAACTTTACAGCACTGATTCCTGACCGTTACATTCTACATTGTTTTTTTTGTTGTTAGTTTGATTTTGTTAATACATTTTGTATTCTATTTCTGGCTCTCGTGTGTCCCTGTTTTTGTTATGTCTCTTTTGAGCCACGGGGCGTAACAAATGGGGGCTTGTCGAAAGTAGGATCCAATCAACGCGAGGATGATTTGGTTTCATCGTATTTAGTTGTTTTTGATTATTTTGAACATGTTTGGAAACGACTGTTTGGTGACGACGTTTTGAGGGAAATACAGTTTGAATAATTTGACGTCACACAATAAGACATCCTGCAGTGAAAGACTCTCAAGACGTGTTTTTGTTTTTTGCAGAATTACATATTGTCACCTCGCACATTAAAACAATAACGATATTAGTAGATGATAAATATCATGCACTCCAAGCTCATCATACACCCTTCCAAATCAAATGTCTTCTTTTGGACATGTTTAAAATCACAAGCTGACACACAGTGTTGGGGAGTAACTAGTTACATGTAACGGAATTACGTAATTTAATTACAAAATAAAAGTAATTGTAATCAGTTACAGTTACTAAGAAAAAATATGTAATTCCATTACAGTTACTTATGAAAATGTTAAGGATAAGGGTCCGCTAAAAATACCTTTTATTGGATGTCATTCACAGTGCAAAATCATTTTCAATTTTGTCCTTGTTCTCTTTTCCACAATAACCTCAAGAGAATCAGGAATAAAACCAATAGTTGAACCGGCCTCACACTCTTCAGTCTCTCAGATCAGATCAGTTTAGCAGTGAATCCATTAGTAAAGAGAAAGTACAAATCAATGTGTGATGCATAATTGGACTGAGATTTAAAATGTCAAAGAGAAAAAACATGATTATAAATCATTTAAAGCCTCATTCAAGAAAAATAAATAATACTTCTTTACTGCACTGTCAGCATTTTTAACCAAATTGTCCGTCTTATGTAGACATTCATACAAATCTGCTTAATCACACTATTCATTACACAGCTGATCTTTATAGTGCTATTTTGATCTGTATTAATATGTATGGAGTAGTGGTGTGTGTGTGTGTGTTTGTGTGTGTGTGTTTCTCCTCCATCACCCAAGGATAGCAAAACCTGAGATCACCTACACTGAGATATATTAATTACACCTCAATATATTGCAGTGCTTTACAAAATAGTACGTAATAACATATTCTTTATATGATTCTATTCATTATAAACAGATGCTGCCTTCTAGTGTCCTTCCTTGTGTCTATTCCTAAAGCCACCACATACTGTCCTTACTCTCCCACTTATCTGACTGGTTTCTTTAGTAATTTTGTCTGATAACAGTCAAGCCTTTGCTAACAAGACGGGCTATTAGCACTTAGTGTAAACAAAATCCATTTAAAGGTGTTTCTAATGCAAAAACAGCTTTAACATGCACAGAAGTCCACACATGAACAAGAAACAAAGCCACACAATGTTTACTTTCTGTATCTCTGTACCTTCATTGACAGTTGTCTCGTCCAATCAGTAGTAAGTATTCTATTCACAAACAATACCTAATTTTTAATTTTTGTCTGACTTATTGTGTTTTCAGACTTTGAGTAATTTGTTTTTCACTTCACAAATACTTTACAGTGTGTCATATATAATCTTACCACAGTTTCTCCAGTTTATAGGGATTTTGTAGTACATCAGAAAGAAGATTCACTGAATCTCCTAGTTTATTCCCAGACAGATCCAGGTGTCTCAGGTGTGATGGGTTTGATCTCAGAGCTGAAGCCAGAGCAGCACAACCTTCATCTGTGACGCCACAATCTCTCAAACTGTAGAGAACAATGACACACTCTTCACTCTCTCAGATCAGATCAGATTAGCAGTGAATCTATTAATAAAGAGAAAGTACAAACACAAAACACAATAACATGTTTGATGGATCATCCGAAATCATTGAAAAATTTGACGTAATAGACCAGTTTTTGAGGTAAAGCTGATGATTGTAAAAAGAAAACTGGTTCTGGAGTATGTGTTTGGTACACTTTTATAATTAGCTGTTTCGTCGTATTAAGATGTGGTTTGAAGACAGTTATTAACCTCCAGTGCCCTGGCGAACATGCCAGCTGTGGAAACCCACTGGATCCCGAGAGCGGCTTCACTTACCGACCGGAGACATTCATGGAGGCTGGCAGTGAGTGACGCTTTCTTTTTGTACATCGTCTGATTCTGCCTAACTTTCAGTATGTATTTTCCCTGTGTAATGTAAAGAATCTTCTTGACACATTGAGTTGTTCTTATGTTTTCAGGTTGTAAAGGTACTCTTGTTGCTCTATTTTAGTATATTTCTACAACTTTAGATGGAATGACTATGGTGTGGCGTCTCTCACATCCATCTTGGATATGGTGAAAGTCATGTGTTTTGCCATCCAAGAAGGCAAGATGGCTGTTCACTGTCATGCAGGGCTTGGCAGAACAGGTACAGTTCTGTTTTATATGTTAAAATATATTTATAACTTAATAAACATACCTGATATATAGGTTGCTGGGTTGATTCTTACAAGCAGCCATGATCTATTATTATTGTGTCCTCAAGCAGCACACTTAACCCGAGGTTACTCCAGAGGGATTTTCTGGATAATAATGCTGCCGTAAGTCGCTTTAGTTAAAGGGGTCATGAACTGAGAAACCAAAATTCTCTTGATCTTTTGACATAAGAGGACATTGTACTATAAAAACATCCTGTAAGTTTCAGAACTCGTTACTTTCTCGTTAGTCTATAAACAGCTTTTATTGAATCTACTCTGCCAAAACAACAGCTGGTGGAATGTTCTTCTCTATGATGTAATAGTGTGGATAAGCACCGCCTCCACAGAAGAAGATCGACATCACTGCCTGTTTAGCCCCGCCCACCGATTCACACATACAGTGTTTACGAGAGAGACAAACATGCAGGTCTATGCAGAAACCCAACGATAAAGATGCTCTGAAGACAAGAAGATGCTGTTCAGTGCCAAGCTGTGGAAAAAAACGGTCTTTGCATTGCCTTCCTTCTGATCCCAATGTTAGGAAAGAGTGAAAGAACTTTATTTTTAATGAAGATCCTTGAAGGTCTTTTCTTCACTTCATTTAAACAAGGCACAATTCGACGCAGGATTTTCTAAAGACGAAACCCAGAAGGAACCGCAGGAAAAGATCCAGATGTCCATTTTTACTCTGTAGAACCTCTTTCACAGCTCTCTGATGCAGCTCAGATAATGAAACATGTTCTGATGAATTGAGTTGAAACCGGTCCTTCACTTTAGACCATAAACTCTGTTTGGTGATTGGCTCAAACGATTTTCTGTTGTTGTTTGTACAGGAGAGGTGCACATATAGAGCTGCTAGGTGTTCCTGAATGCTCAGATGAACAAAGCAGAAGACTTTCCCCTGATACAAGCCAAACTCCTCTCTGAAGATCTGAGTGCACAATCCTGAGTACACTGATGCTTCTGTCACATCAATGCCACACTCTCTCAGGTCTTCCTCATAGAAGATCAGGTTGCCTTTCACAAGCTGCTGAAAAGCCACTTTCCCCAGTTTGAAGATCATGTCTTCATCCGTCACCTTCTTCTCATAGTCCTTCTGATGTTTGATGTTGGTCTGAAGGATCAGGAAGTGTGTGTACATTTGAGTGAGAGTCTTGGGAATCTCTCCACTCTCTGCTTGACTCAACATCTTCTCGAGAACAGCGGCTGAGATCCAGCAGAACACTGGGATGTGGCACATGATGAAGAGGCTCCTTGATGACTTCACGTGTGAGACGATCCTGTTGGCCAGACTCTGATCACTGATTCTCTTCCTGAAGTATTCCTCCTTCTGTGGCTCATTGAAGCCTCGTACCTCTGTCACTCGATGGACACACTCAGAGGGGACGAGATCAGCTGCTGCTGGTCTGGAGGTGATCCAGATGAGAGCAGAGGGAAGCAGATTCCCCACAATGAGGTTCATCAGCAGC